GGGCCGCTGGCTGAGGAGAGGTGTTTTCGGGCGGCCGGTGGGGTGGGGGTGCCGACAGCCCTCTCCGTGCCGTGCTGCCGCCGGCCAGGTGTGTGCACGTTGCACGTGTGAGTGTGCGCGTGTGTGTCCGGAGGCGCGCGCCCCGCGTCCGCCCCGGCGTCCCGGGAATTCCCCCCAGGAAATGGGTCCGCGCAGGGGGCACTGGAGGGAAGTTGGCGCGGCCGCTGCACTCCAGCCACGTCCGCGAGGACAGGCCTGGGCGACCGCGGTTGCGGGCACGTTTACGGTTGGAGAGGGGCCTGCCCTCCTTTGGCGCGGGGCTCTGGCTCCCCAGTGGGCCTCGACCTTGATTTTGATCTAGATCTGAAGGGTCTGGGGATCATCAGAGGCTTAGCTACCTGGTAGAAAGACGGGTTTTGTTCCGGGGGTTTATGCGGTTATTCAGTGTACTGTGAGGCGGCAGCATCTGCAGACGCTGCCTGTGTTCTGTGGGGGGCGGCTGGATGCCGCCAGATTTGTGTAGGTTCTTTCCCGCTCCCTTCAAGCGGCCCCCCCAAAGCCTTTGGAAAGCCAATCTGTGTGCTTCTATTTTTAGAAACTAGATGATGGGCATTTAAACAACTCCTTGGGCTCTCCAGTTCAAGCCGACGTGTACTTCCCACGACTGGTAAATGATTTTTTTTTTCCTGTGCTCTGTGTCTGCCTGTACCCTCTTCTTTCTAATTGCATTTTCTAGTGGGTCAGGTCCTTAGGATCCGAAGATTTGGCTGCTTCCTAACAGGCTGTAAACTTTTTGTTTCTCCTCTCATCTTTGGCAGATCGTGCCATTTTGTGGGCACATTAAAGGTGGCATGAGACCAGGCAAGAAGGTGTTAGTGATGGGCATCGTAGACCTCAACCCTGAGAGGTAAGGCAGAGTCCTTGTCACCCAGACCCATCAAGCAGTTACAAGGTCTTGCTCACTCCTGTTCCTGTGATAATGCTCCTCCTCCCCTGTGGCCAGTGTTGCTAGTTGGAAGTGCCAAGAAAGTGCTATGTTCCCATGAAAAGAATGTGTATGAATCCCAGCCATCATTTCTCTAGACAGCTATTTATATCAGAGATTATAAATATAGACCCACATCATTTTCTCTTTGACCCTTAAAGAGACCAAAGGATTTGGTTGGTGTTTTGTTTGTTTTTTTGTTTTTGTTTTTGCAGTTTTTAAGGTGCTTGAAGTAAGAACTATCAATATAAGTAAGAACCAAACTTTACAAGATAATATTTACCCTGATCAATTTATGGGGCTATTTTTGAGACTTCTGAAATAGATTAAGACACAGATGTGTGGGTAGTTGGGGTATCTGAAATGTCTGCAGTTATTTTCTCCTCCACCGAAGTTTTCACCAGGGCCTCCTCTGGGTAACAAAATAAAACGGTTTGATTGTAATCCTACTTCTCCATAGTCTAACCTCCCATGTGAAGAATAGTGGCCCATTAAAAGCTGACAAATCCAGAGAAGAAGGGAATGGGAGCCTGGGTCATCATTAAATGTTGTTATATTCAACCATGAATAAATGAGATGATTTTCTTTTCAGCTTTGCCATCAGCTTGACCTGTGGTGACTCAGAAGATCCTCCCGCCGATGTGGCAATTGAACTCAAAGCTGTCTTCACAGAGCGGCAGCTACTCAGAAATTCTTGCATATCTGGGGAAAGGGGTGAAGAACAGTCAGCGATCCCTTACTTTCCATTCATCCCAGACCAGCCATTCAGGGTGAGTGCCTGGAGAGCTTCAGCTCCAACCCCTGGCAGGAGGGTGATGTTCTCATCCAGGGTGTGCCAAGAATACTCTAAGCAGCCAAAATTTTTGCATGTCCAGGAAATTTGTCACCTGATGGTGAAAAGAAGAAAAACAATCAAAAAAGCTCTATTTGCCAATATGAATTAATAATTAATAATAACTCTTGGCTCTGTTTAGCCAATACATGTAAATAAACCCACATTTACATGTCTAGATTGTTAAGAGTAAATACATTTCTATGTAGTATCCAACATAGTACTAGGCATATAATAGATACCTGTCCCCAAATATCTATTTGATTAATAAATATGTATCTAGTATTTTCCTCATTTTCTCCTCAACCTTTGAGTAGTACCAAACCATGTAAGTTATGTCTTTTTTAAGAATATAGTGATTATCATTTTATTTTCTCTTGTTCCATTTGCTATTGAGGCCTGGCCATGTCCTTGTTTCCCTTTCTGGGTTAAGTAGCCTCGGGCTATTTCATTGTCACAGGCCGTGTGGCTGACAAATTCCTTCCCTTGGGTCTGGATGAGTATAGATTTGCTCCCCACTATCTAGCAGGCAGGAAGCACAGCTCAGACTTTCATTCCAATCAAGCAGTATTAGCAGCACCTTCCTCTTTGATGGACAATGCATGCCAAGTAAGACAGGCAGGTCAGTAATGTGTTAGGAAAGGATTTGTTGACGTGTCAGACCTGGTGATGAAGTGTCCGCATTACACCTTGTTAACATCACAGTAATGACAATTCAGTTAAAAGCTCTGTGTTGCATGTATGCCTAAGAAAGCAAAGCTACCCTTAACCTGTTGTTCCTCATCTAGAAATTTACTATGGCCTTATGAATAAGTCATAATTTACCTTGCCATCTTACAGTCTGGAGGAAAAATAAGAATCCGCAACTTTCACATCAGTGATATAATTGAGACTAATTGCTCTTCTAATCATACTCTGGGGGAGGCACCCCTCCCCTTCCTTCTCTAGAATGGAAATGACCCTGAGCCTCCCCTGGACTGTGACAGTTTCTTAATTGTGAATTTTAATACAGAGCTCATGAGTGTGAGTAACCAGAGCTTCTGCCAAGAGGAACAATGTTCCCCAACAACAAAACAAATAAAATCAACCCTTCTTGGTGATTAATTTTAGTAATAATATGAATTAAATGTGACTAATATCACATACAGAGTCTCTCCTTATATGATGAATACAAATATTTTTAATAAATACATAGCACAGAACCAGTGATTAAACTCTATGGTGAATTACTTAAAGAGGAAGAAAAAGCTTTTACCATATGGAATCAGTATTTCTGTTTGGCTTAACAAAGCCTTGTTAATTACACATCCTTGGTCGAAGGGTAATCACTGTGTGACCTTCTCTCTGCTTTAGTGTTCACCATGCTAGAGTGTCTAAACTATTATTACACATTACTAATGGGTACCAGTTCTGCCTTGTGAGGGGCTTTTCTGAAAGTAGAATAGAATTGTTCAGGGGATGAGAGTGGAGGCATTAAGTGCCATATAAATAAATCTTTACATCACTTCTAGCATGCAAGAAGAAGGGAGAAATGTTAAAGCAACTTTAAATCTTTAAAGGACATGAAATAGTGTAGAGTAGTGGTTCACAAAGTATGTCCCTCATTCCAGCAACACCAGCATCACCTTGGAACTTGGTGGAAAAGCAGACTCTTTGACCTTACCCTAGACGTACTAAATGGAAAATTTGAGGGGTGGAGCCCAGCCATCTGTGTTCTCACAAGCTTTCTGTATGATCCCAGTGCACTCCAACATTTGAGAACCACTGAAGATACTGCCTTTGTCTTAAATGAAGTGTTGCTTGTTCGTTTTCCCCAGCAGGGTTCATTGGAATTGTGAACTGAGATGGTTATTTTGTTTCTTCCAGGTGGAAATTCTTTGTGAGCACCCACGTTTCAGAGTGTTTGTGGATGGACACCAACTTTTTGATTTTTACCACCGCATTCAAACGTTATCTGCAATCGACACCATAAAGATAAACGGGGACCTCCAGATCACTAAGCTGGGCTGATGTTTAAACCACGTCTGTTTCCGATAGCATCAGGGGCCACAGCCGTCTGACCCTTGGTCTGGAAGAAGTGTCCCAGCAAGACCTGAAGACTGAAAGGGAAAACAAAAATGAAAAGGCTGGCTTCACTGTTTCTTCTTCCTGTGCAGTTCAAACCCAAAATGACTTCAACGGTGATTTGCCCTTAGGAAGCTGTCGGAACAAAGACACCGAGCCATTATTCCCGGAACAAAGTAATACATTTATGCTGAATTTTATTCAGACTAAACTGAAATGGATTTGTGGTGATCTGTGATTTGGTAGTAAGTTGTTCATCTTTTCAAAGCAAGGTGATACTTAGAACAAAAGTGCTAAAGACTTAACAACAAAGACGGTACACCGAAATCAACTCATTTCTGCACTGAAGTGGAATTGTGTAGCACAACCAACATTTTAGTCAGGGTATTTAACAGAATGTAGGTTGTTCCAGTTTTGTTTTGTTTTGTTTTGTTTTTTGCACAGCATAATGTTAATTCAGATTTTTAAAGCTTTCTTATAGTTATTTATTTATACTCAATGTACGTATTAGGGAATGATTAATGTCTCAAGAACAACAAGTTATAAACTTTTGAATGTACAATTATCTTAGGTGTGAGGGGGAAATTACATATTACAATCATGAAAAAGGTGAATTTCTACCTTAAACAGTTGAGTGTTATCCTTCATACTCCTAAATTTAGGATCTCTTGATACAAATTGCTGTAAGTGCTTTTGGGAAAACTTTGCAATGTTTCGATAAGACTGCTTTTCACGTTTTTGATGATTATGTAATTCTGTTTACATTGCTTTTTCTCCTTACTGTGAATTAGCACAGTATTGGCTTCCTTCAGACTGATTAACTACTTTTCCCTAGATCTACATAATAGCTCATTAAGTTGTTATTAAGCATATTGAAAACAGATAAGAGGTGATTGCATAGACAATTTTTTAAATGACTATTACATAAACTTTTAAAAGTCTCATATGAAAATGATTCTGGAATGCAGTGGAAAGCAGAAGCAAATGGCCCCAAATAACTTACTTGGAAATAATTTATAGCAACTTAAGCTGTTAGCTCACTGTATCACTTATTATGTGACCCTCACCAATATCCCTTAGCAATGCCTTTGGAGCTTCAGAATTAAGGGTGCTTCCTACTGTGTTGGCTCTGCTGAGATATTAGGATAAGATGGGATCTAAATTAGGAAATGATCCAGTTAGGTTATCTGAAAGGTTAACTCCCAGGACTCCAGGTCTTTCAGTCCAGCCAGTAGCGTGCATGCTTCCAATTAAGCTGTAGGAGTTTCCCTGTACTTGCAGAACTGACAGACAGCAGGGAGTCTCCGGGGAAGCCTGCAGGACTCTAAACGTCACCATAGGCAAGGGATGTTTGGAGTCCTGGGTGCTGGATTTCACATACTGCATTGGCCCTGGAGAGAAGGACCCTTGGCATTGCTTTGGTCAGGTAGTTTGGGGGGAAGAGGGAGTGCTGGGGTAGGGGTGTATTTATATATAATTTAGGTTTTGTTTGTATAGCATACTGCATCTTGTTATGACACGTCCTTGTCCTGCTTTGCTTTTGAGTTTTTTTACACAACATGCAGAGGCACTGAAGTGGCCATGTCATTTTCACGTGTCAAGAATGTAGACAGTGTTTCAGTACCAAAGTCTAAGAAAAAGCAAACTAAAATCGTGCATTTTTTAATAGATGATATATTTGGATTCTTCTCAACTTTGAAACTGTTTAGCACAGTTCCATTGTGTTATATAAGAAGATGCTTTATCCAACAAGACTGGCTGAGCATTGAAAAGCTTTATGTACCTGCTGACTAAACCAGCCATATTCAGGAGGGCTGTTCTGTGGCTCCGGGTATTTTTGAGCCTGTGATTAACTTGTAGAGCCACTAGATTTTGAGGAGTGTTTGTAGAAAGACTTAGAGGGCCCCCTGAAATATATTTACAGGGGTTTTGATTCTCCTTATGGTGGAAGACCCCCATAGGAGTTCTCCTTTGAGTGGCCATCCATTCCCACCCATTGCATAATTCAACAGAAACTAGAGGAGTTGGGAGTATAACTTCAAATTGACCCTGTTCTCTCTACCTGTCAGCTAACTGGTTAGCAGCCAAGCCCTTAGGCAGCTTAGTGTAAAGATACAGTGTTAACCCTTTGTTTCTTTACGAGGTCAGTGGGAACCTCTTGGTTAAGCCTGTTGAAACTAATCTAAATGAAGTGATGGTTTGATTCAGGTATAGTTAAATTAGCAGGGGACTAATCCAGCTGTACTAATCATTAGTTGTAAACGGGAAACAATGTTCACATCCTCTCATTAGCATGTAAGGTCTAATGTGGGAATTCAGGATGGAAAGTGCAATTTTAAGCTTCACAGAAAAGCATTTGGGTATGTAAGGTGTTATTTCTGACCAGAGCCCTAATTTAGCAATATGACCAAAACCAAGAAATATGAATAACAATCAAGCTCTGGGGGAATAATAGACAGGCTTTAGACAATCTGTCCATTTCTGCATCAAATTGGAGTGAATGTATATAACTACTTAAAAAAATAACAGGCTTTAGACAATCTGTCCATTTCTGCATCAAAATTTGAGTGAATGTATATAACTACTTAAAAACTAGTAGAAGTGACTTCTACTTTCTGGGATGTCCCAGAATTGTCTTAATTTCTTTTTTAATTTGAAACCCCATTTCAAAATCTTGCCAACCTCAGTTCAGAACCTCCTAAGAGATCACTCTTAGAATTGTTAGTGATTTGTTAAAATGGCAAATCCTCATTTGTATTAAAAAAAGAAAATGTCCAAAAAGGGGGGAAGGAGCCCTGTTGCCTTGAAAGAAACAGCCTTGGCATTTTCCAGCTACATTATTAATGTAGAAATAATGTTCCTATGATGACATATTTTCAAAGAAACACTTTCTTACTTACTGCGTGGTGTAAAATGTTGCTAAATGTGTTCTTACGTTATTATGTCACTGCTGAAAGTTATTTGCACTATAATAAAGGAGTTTTCTACAAAATGGTTTCCAGTTTATAAGGTGCTAAATTTGATACCAGGTGTGATGTACTTAGGTTGGACCACATGGTAGAGCAGTCCTCCCTCACTTACACACACACTCCAAGACCACTTGTTTGTGTGTTGCCCACATTAATAAACTGACCAAGGAAGGTAAGTGTGTCAAGGCACTCAGAGGCCTAATGTGTTCATGTTGTGAGTGCAATGGCTTCTTTTTTAAATATAATTTGTGCACAGTAAATTCACATTTTTCTTGGTGTGCAGTTTTACGAGTTTTAACACATGCGTAGATTCACGTAACAATCACCTCAATCAGGATACAGAGTCTTTCCATCACCCCAAAGAATTCCCTTGTGTTACCCCTTTGTAGTTAAGCTTATCCTGCACTCCTAACCCTTATCAGGCAACCACTGCCCCATTCCCCCTCCCTATAGCTTTGCCTTTTCCTGAATGTCATATACAGAGAATCATGCAGTATATAATCCTTTGAGGTTGACTTCTTGCATAATGCATTTGAGATTCATATTGTGTGTATCATTTTTCTTTTTTATTGCTGAGTAGTATTCCATTGTATAGATGTCCCAGTTTGTTCACCTAAAAAGTGTGCAGTGGGTTCTTCATAAATCATTCATATAGTCTTATTAGTGCAGTGCACATACAAAAGTAAGACTGCATTTCACTTGCCTTCTCTTTCCTGTGGTTTGAATGATTAAGAAGGAGACTTGATCCCTTAGCTATTTTGACTACAAATCAAACTATGGCTTGTAGAATTTTGCCAACCTTCAGTTATGAGTGGTTTAACATAATTTACTCGCATGCTGGATTTAGGGTCCTACCTACACCTAAGTTGGTTTTATTAATTCCTTCCCTCTTTTTTTTTCATTTTTACTTTTTAAGGGTGCAAAGCTGTCAGGCTGGTCTTTTTCACAGCTTTTGCAGTGAAGTATAGGCAAAGAGAGGTCTGTCAAGGTGAGGACAATTTGCTGAGGCTGTTGGGCAGAGAGAGGAGAGCTTCCCCTGCCCCCCAGCCTAGACAGGATGGTCCCTTGTGGGACATGACCTTATACTTGTTCAATGACAGCATATTGAATGGGACAGTCTGGAAGATACTTAGAACTGGAGCCGCCAAGTACCAGAACACTTGGGGCCTTCATTCATTCAGCAGGTATTTCTTGAGCTGTGTCAGCTTAATGTGCTTAATTCTCACCGGAAGCCTCCATATGGGGCAGAAGTCTAAACTTACCCTGTGTGGTTATGTTTCAGTAGGTCTGGAGTAGTCTCAGGACTTTGTGTTTATAAGAAACACCCTGGATTGTGTCCATAGTCCCAGATCCCAAATTAAGCAGCTCTGCCTTTGGGAATTCCTTAAACATTCACTGAATCAAACTGTTGAATTGTGCCAGACTGTGAGATTCGGATTTGTGGATATCTTTCTGTGAAAACACTGGGGCGTCCTGCTCTGCCAAAAAATAACCTTGCAACTGTCACTATCTTCATCCCTGATTTAATCTCTCCTCACTCCCGCGCCTACCTCAATATAAACACTGTAGAAAGTGACTTTCAACCGAGTTTTGTAAAAATCCTCCTGATTTGGATTGGTTTAGGATCTCACTAGCACTCTGACACCTATTTTAAGCAGTGGATGCTCCGAGATAGATTGAGGTTCTAGGGAAAGCCTCCCTTACTTACTGATAAGCATTTCGATTAGTTGATTCATTGCAAAATCTCCAGGGTGGGACTTAATTGTTCTATAAGGCAAATACACAAAGTGGCTTATAACTTGTAAAGAGGACAGTGGGCAAGTCGTAATGGCCCACATGAGCTGCTCACAGCATTTTGGAAATGATTTTCAGGTCTTCCTTTCACAAGAAAATGCAGCTGAGTTTGTATACGGCACAGCAAGCCTGCCTTACTCCCTAATCACCATGTTAGTTTCACAGTGATTTTTTTTCCTTAAAAAAAAAAGGCTCCTACAAAAAGCAAAGAACTGTCTTGCAAGGCATGTATTTCATAATGAATTAAAATGGGTGTATACAAGGTGCTGAAGCAATACTCAACTGAGAGAGAGAAGTGGAAGAAATAGCCACTGACGCTTAGTCTTGCTTTGATACACCCTTCCATCTCCCAGGGAAAGATGGTGACGAGGTGAGCAGGCAAGAAGGTAAGGAGGCATCACTGTTTGACAGGACAACACAGACAGTTCTTAAATAATAGGCCCTGGGAAGCGGCAGGCCGACCACAGGCCTTGGGGATGATGTGGGGTTTTGGGGACCTTCCAAGTTTTCATGAGTAAGAACAATAACAGACACTTGCCAATACAACCTACAATGGAAAAGTATCTGAAAAAGAATATATATATGTGCGTATATATGGATAAGTGTAACTGAATCACTTTGCTGCACACCTGAAGCTAACACTCATTGTAAATCAATGCTTCAATTTTAAAAAAAATTTAATGAAATAATTTTTAAAAAACGAAAAGCAAAATAAAAAAAAATTGCCAGTAACTCCAGCAACGCCTTTTCTGTTGGTATTCTATCATTAATTCTAAAAAGACAGAAGCAAATAATCAAAGCTTCTCTGAACTCTTGGCCTGGGAACGGGAGGGAGAGAAGCAGCAAGGCTGCGAGCGGGCTCAGGCAGGAGGCAGGGCCCCGGGCCTCCGGGAATTGGTGGGTGTGCTCAGGTGGGCACTTTAAATCTCCCAACCTTCATTGGCCTCCTGTGGGAAATGGAAATAATGGCACTTGTGACATTGTGTTTGGAGAGCCAGAGGTGATGATGGGTTGTAAAACATTTCTCACAGCTGGTAAGGCCAGAATTAAAATAATCTGGTACCAATTTCTACAGTAATCCGTCATGATTTTGTAAAGAAACAGTATGAAAGGTGCTAATCCTTGAGACTGTGTCTAATTCATTGGAACACGCTTTTCATATCATTTCATTAAAAACTATTTTATTTAAAATCTAGCCAAAATTAGCAGTGCATTAGGCAATATTTGGAATGATGTTTGTAAAATGTACTCGGATATTTTTTTTTTACTCTGAATTATTACAGCTGTATCAATATTACAAAGCATGGATTTCTCCCTATGCAATGAAAATTTAACTCAGCACAAAATGATTTTTAATGTTGTTTAAAAGTGAACAAGGATGATATGCACAAAATATGGAGAACCTACCAAAAAGAAATAATTTTTAAAAATGAGACTTCATAGAGGCGTTTGGTCTATTACTCTAGGATTCTAATTAACCATTCATTTATCCTGTATTTTTTAAATCCTCAAGTTAAAATAAAAACACGCATATACACTATGGAACACAAGACCACAGTCTCTTTATTTGAGGTTAGAAATAAGCCTGCTCTTATAAGGCTTCAATCAAAGTCAAATTTGAGGAATCTCACAGTTTGGGGTTTTTTTCTTTAGGCAACTAACATTCTTTTTGCTTTTGTACGTGATGTAAATTCCTGACTTGGGAGTCCCCTTGCAAACCTCAGCTTCAAAATTAAGTAAATGATTTTTAAAATTCAGCTGGCTAAGTTGAAAGGGCAAATTCTGGCCTTTTGAGCAGTTAATGCTCTTAAAGCCTGTCTGTAGGGTTAGTTCACATCCTGTGAGAGAATTACTCATAACCGATACGATTGAAGCTGGACAGGAAAGCATCACTCTTAAGTGAAGGCACCATGTTAGATTCTGTGGGTTATTAAAAGAGATGGATGATGTATGCCACCTGCCCTTGAAGAATTTATGCTCTAACTGGAAAGACAGGTCACGTGCATATAAAATATACATGAAGATGAACGTCAATAAACGGAGCCAGACTGAGTGGGCAGAACATTGCACATTGCAGGAGTTTCAGAGGACACAGCTTGCTGCTCACTGGGGTGACCCAGGAGGACCTCTGGGTCTAAAGGACTCTAGCTGGGCTTCCAATGCCCCTTGCCCTCTGTGCTGCCCTCAAACACCCCAGGATATACACCAAGCACAGGTTCCCTCTCTGAGAGACCAGTGTTGTGTTTTCCAAAGCTCAGTGAAGCAGCGGAAGTTCTGGCCTCCCAAAGAAAGAGTTCAAGGAGGAACCTGATATTCTTTAGTTACAAAACTCTTGGAGCAGGGAGGGTACAGCTCAAGTGGTAGAGCACATGCTTAGCATGCACAAAGTCCTGGGTTCAGTCCCCAGTACCACCTCCAAAAATAAATAAACCTAATTACCTCCATCCCCCCCCAAAAACTAAAAAAAGAATAAACTTTATTTAAGTTTCATTAGCTTAACTTTAAGTAGCTACACGTAGCTCGTGGCTACCGTACTGGACAGCACAGGTCTGGAACATTGGACCCTGTTGGGCTTATGTTTGGCCTAGCTCCTCAGGGAATATTGAAGGTAGCAGAAGTTCCTGTTTGAATCTAAGCCATGTTCACCCTCAAATGCAGGAAAGTCTAGGCACTTTCTGAAGGCTAGTGGAGGCCTATTTATAGATGAGACCAAGGTGCCCACCCCTGGGAAAGAACTCACCCCAGGAGAAGAAAGAGCCCACAGGGTGGTTTGTTTCAGGAAAGCGGGCAAGCCTCAGAACAAAGTGGCAACTCTGCACTCAGTTGTGTTGTCACTCACGTTGTCCCAGGCCAAGTTCAATGGAGCCATTCCTGAATCTCAGAACAAGGTGCTTCAATAAACACCCTGCTTCCTCGTGAACCCCCCTCCCTGGAGCCCTGAAGGATAGGGGAGCCGCAGCACAGGCAGCATTTAGTCGTGCTTCCAGCCAGCATTCCCTAAGCTTCTCCTAAGTGCCAGGCACGGTGCCAGATGCCAGCGGCGCTGACAGCTGCTGCAGCACCTGCCGGGGCCTCGGCCTTCAGCAGCCTCTGCACAGCTGTCAGCAGTAATGCTGTTGCCGCTGGTGAGCATGAGGGGCACAGCTGTCCATTTCGGAATTGCAATGGTGATCAGAAGCATTTATTTATCTTTATGATTAACACCTTTCTAGTCATGTGTTTGTCTAACCC